CAACAGCGCCCTGTGACATCACTATGAGTCCATAACAGGCTGACGTCAGCACGTTGTAATATAAAATTGTGGAACATCAACGTTTTAGGATAGCCCTTCTCTCTGAGTGCTCCTGTTAAACTTGCTTCATAGTCGGCTCCTTCGTAGTCTACAAATGTGGTAAATGCAGACAGAGATGAACAGACGTGTAAAACCTAGTACATCCCACAATTCAGGAGGCCACTGCTATTGTGATTTGGCACTATATCAACAAAATACAACTAAATTTTGGGTCAATCAATATATGGTTGGCAACATTTCTTAATATAAAGTGTTAATATCACCTCTGTGATGAATATTTCATTTCTACTTCAGGAATTAAGTGATTCCTACTGAGCTGCGTATGCTTTCACAGCCTGTATAAAACACAGTGAGGACCAGAGAGGCCACCCTTCGGAGGAAGCTCATTTCTGCCGCTTGTATCCGCGATATCGTTCTTTCGGTCACTGCCCACAGCTGGTGACCATAGGTGAGGGTAGGGACGTAGTAAATCGAGAGCTTTGCTTTTACACTCGGCTCTCTCTTCACCACGACAGACCGAAGACATATAAAGGTGAAATATCTAAGATGTGCTTTGTTGGACATCTGCTGTCACATTATAAAGCAGCTTAGTATAAGTGCAATCACATTCTTTCACCGTGCTTTGCCTCAGTGCTTATGGATTCTCCTTCATTCTTCTTTCACCTCATGACATTTTCCATTAAAGGGGAATTTTTGGACTGATCTGACGGAGCACCAGACTGTGCACTGAGTATAAAACAGGTAAAACTTCACCAAGCACAGGTTCATCACCCCAAGTAGCATTGGATCCTCGGTTATAACAGGAATTTCAGGAACGCTGCTTTCAGATCAGTGTTTTCAAGGTTGATCATGTGCATTAAAAACCAGACTGGGTTCCATTTTATTGATATGCTATGTTTATCAATGTTCATTAAGACATTCTACAGCACAGAGCCATCGGTACATTCTGTATATTTCCATTGGAGTGAAAGTGTGTAAGTGACGCTCGAGCCAAAAGATGCAGCTTTAAAATTGAACTGACTTCAGCAGAATCAACGAAACACAGAACATTTCTTTTCCTTGAGAATACATTTGTGTGTATATACAAATTTATCAAAAGCCACATTAAAAAGAAAAATAATAATCTCGTTTGAATCACAAATTAAGACTGAAAAAAAAACAAGGTAAAGAAGAGTAGACAGAGGTGCTACATTCTTTCTAAAATGTTCAGATTTAAACTCACGACTCAAAAATAATCAATAATTTCTCGTTCCTATGCCCCAAAATTCCTTTCACGCTCCTTTTCGTATGAGAACGTGCACACTGCTAGTTCTCTTCTTGATATATTATTAACATTCATTTCTGTGTGATGCTGACATTTCAAACGTCATTCAAAAGTTAAGAAGTCACAGAAACCCTAAATTAAAACAAACAAATCATCATATAATACTGTTTAACATGGGAGTTTAAAATAAGCTTGATGCCACATTATGTTTCACTCAGAGCGTGGGTTGATTATTTCTCTGGATTGGCCTCTGGATGGCAGTACAGAACCACCTGGAGGACATGAGGACGGCCGTGGCGTTTATAAGTTGCTAAACAGTTCATTCCTCTTGCTCCAGTCCATGGCCGGGGCCTTCTTGGCGCCACGCTTCTGCTGGGCTCTTTCTTTGGCCTGAGCTACTGTCAAGGCAAGACCCAGGTTGTCGATGGCTGGGGCCGGCTCTGACCTCGAAGCCCTTTCAATCTAGAAGCACACATATATTCAAACAAGTTCGTTTTTCTCTGAGCTTTAAAACTATTCCAAATCTTTCAGTGGCATGGAGACAGTACCTCTGAAGGCGAGGAGTTGTTTGTTGCTGCTGGTAGGGAGCTGCTGGAAGAGGCACTGGAGACGGAAGAGCTCGCAGATACTTTAGGCTTTGCATTTATCTGCCAAACACACAACACACATTCAAAAGGGTCAATTCATCCAAAGTACAAAACACCATCCGGAAAGCATCTCAGCTTCAAAGGACATGAACATTTCGATTATGCAGAACTAGAACCTTTTCAAACCGAGTGGAAAGTTTAGAGGTAGCTCATTTCAACTAGCTGCTCATTAGAAGCCTTTCTGAATTTCCAGAGAAAGGAAACTTCACCAAAAAAGCAAAAATAAAAGCGCACTTCTGAATATCCTCATTCAATGTTAGAGTCCAACACCTGTAGCTCAGGAGGTAGAGCAGGTCATCTGCTGATCGTTGGTGGTGTCTGTAAGCCAAATGTCCTTGGGCAAAATATTAACCCCAGGTTGCTCTCTGATGCATCCATTGGAGTGTGAATGGTAGATATAAAGCACTTTAAAACATAGAAGTGCTTGTGTGCATGGGTGAATGCTGTATAGAGCGCTTTGAGTACTGTGGGAGAGTAGGAAAGTGCTATATAAGACAGTGTGTTTTTACATCAAACAATCTGAAGCGAAGTACAAGAACACAGACGTGGTGTATTTCTTCTACGAGAGTCACACAAACATTTCTTTTTAATTATCAAGACCAAATGTGCAGGCAGAGAGGGGAGTGTCACCAGCAGGGGGGGCTGGTCATTCAGAGGCTCAGTGTGAGCAGTCCTCTCTCTGAGCAGACCGTTCAGGGATCGGCACATAGCCCTGCTCCTATCTGAAATGCAGTGTGGAACTCACCTCATCTATGAAAATTTGGCCTCCAGTGTGGAAGCAGCTGTTTCTCTAAAAATAACCCCAGCCCCATGCTGCACACGAGCATGAGCCCTCTGCTGTAAGGTGTCTTCATCAGACGCCTCTAATAGTATTCCATTTGCACTAATGCCACTTAAAAGCCTTTTAAGTTACTGAATATCTAAGCAGGACTATTGGCCACCTGATGATAAAAGGCACACTGGAGGTCAGAGGTCAGGGTATGGATTCATGCCGCCATGTTATATAACAGCTGGTGAATGACTGATTGTTCGCTACAGAAGTCTGGCTGTATGTGAGAGTGTGTGAATGCTGCTCATTAGCATAATCCTCAAATTAAAGCCACTGCAATCCCATGATCTTCTACTCCTGTTGCCATGGTGAAGAGGTCAGCCACAATGTCACTAGAGGGGCCAATCCACAATTCCCATGTTGTCACTGGGTGTGTGTGTGTGTGCGTATAGACGTAGTGGGTGGTGTTTATTTTGATGACTGAGCCTGTGCTAATTAAAGGGGCATTGCACTGGTTTTCTCAGGCTGAGGAGAAGTGAGTCTGCTACATTTTGAACTCTTTATGTGACATTTGTTACTTAAGTATACGTCACACAGTTGCATCCTGCTTCACTCTCTCGGGCTGCTTAATGTTATCTCTTCAGTTGCAGAAGACTCGTTAATATTAATGTCAATGCAACGACCGTGATCAATTTAATGTGGAAATTCAAAATCCTTTAAAATAACACTACTATGAATACAGACACGTACAAAGTAGCATGCATAATTGAAGTAATGCAAATCATGATGGGACAAAGAAGAAACAATCAGAGCTTTAAATGGAACTCAATGCAAAAGCATCTTAAAGTGTAGGACCACAGACAGCCACTAGGGGGCTATTTTCAGTTGGCAACCCCAAAAATGTCTCTGCCACTGGATTCAAACCAGCGAGGTTTCACTTGCCATCAAATATATGAACCCCTGCACAGTGACAGTTTACTTCCATGAAGTACTAAATATATTTTGTTTATAACATTATGTGTATGTGATTTTTCTTTCAGCTTTGGTCCTAATGGTTTGTGTGATGATGATCACTTTCAACATTATGCTATAATCAGGTAGATAGTAGACCTCAAGGACAGCATCTGTTGTAAAGGCTCACCATTCAGCACACTCACTTCACTAGATGCACCTTGTTTCTTTTCCTCACCTTTGATTGGGTGTGGTGCTTGCCCTTACCTGTCACTCGTTATACAAGGACTGCACTCACCTACAGCTCACTCTTTCTTCACTGCCACATGGGGCGGCAGCTGAGGTGAGTTTCTGTTCGAGTCTCCTGAGTTCATGTATTATTTTGAGTTACTTAAATCATACTTTATTTCCTTTCAGAGATAGAGTCCATGTGTGTCTTTCCTTTTGCTCATTATTTAATAAAACAAAAAAACCCTGCAAGTGATTACTGACTGTTCATTCTCATCCTGACCAGATGAGCCCATGATGGTAACAATCTCCAACCTCCTCTGAACCTTCCTTCAAAACAGCATCCTTGGGGGTGTGACTGGTGTGACTCCAAACTGTCTAGTTTGGAATGATTGACAAACATTAATAACTTTGAGTCACATGCACATGTTTCATTCATTAGTTTGTAGTCAGAATTTTGAAGTAGACGACACTTTCTTACTGTTCTTTAGGTTGTTTAACTGTGATAATGATCCGTTATTTTGGTAAATGTAGAAAAAATAGCCTTTTAAAGGGCATCTAGTGGTGAGAACAAAATTTATTGTGTGTGTGTGCGCGCGCGCGCGCGCGCGTGCGCGCGTGCGTGCGTGCGTGTGTGTGTGTGTGTGTGTGTGTGTGTGTGTGCGTGTGCGTGTGTGTGTGCAAGGGGTCCTTACCTTGTCTTCTGCCATTGGCTCTGGAAGAGGTCCTTCAAGAACAAACAAAACAGGAAAGTCCTCGTTTCACTCTGTTTCAAATAATTTTCCTCAGTATTATGTTTTGTACTTCTAAATATTAAGAAAACATAGTAAAAAGTGTGGTACCACTGATGTGTTCCTCAGTGGGCATAACATTGCATTTCTGGAAGAATTCCTCTGCCTCAATGTCAACCACCAGTAGCCTAGTCTCGTCTCCTCCGGCCTTTATGGCTGCCACCACCTCTGAGTGCTGCATCCCAGCCACAGACATACCATTAACCTGAAGAGACAACAGGAGAAACTTAGGAAAAAGTTCTTATATTCTAAAATGATCCATTTTCAATGTTTCCCTCCAGAGACCGAAAGTTATAGCATGGCCCATTTTACTAAAGCCTGCTTATTATTTTCTCAGTTAACGGTTTGGAGAACAACCTTATCTTTGTATTTTTGATCATGATTTTTACGTGTTATAAATCAGTAAATAAGCAGAAACATTTTGTGTCCAACTTAAACACAAAGACTGAATAAATAGTGACTGTATAACCAAAGGGAAGCAGAAATGATCTGAGTGTAAAATTGTTGCCCTCTAATTTTCTGTTATTGAAGGTTACACTTGGATTGTCGCTCGGCTGTTTCACAGGTAGGTTTGCTGTGTCTCTGAGGACGTTCCAGGAGACAGACAGAGCCCAGCGTCCTTAGCCCTGTGTTAACTGTCTGGTATGGTGGACTATGGATTTGCCATAGAATACTAGAACTGGCAGGTACCCCCACTGTGCTTTTTACAGATGAGAGAGAGGTTCACCCTAAGCACATGTGACAAACTTAGAAGTGTCTGGATAAGTCACTGAGAATGTTTCCTTTAATGTCATTCAGCATGAGCGATTTGATGGAGGGTCAGTGACGGTCTGGGGAAGCATATCCCTGCAGGGATGCAAAGACCTCTCTACAGGCCAGGCAACGGCACCCTGACTGCTATTAGGTGTTGGGATGAAATCTTTGGACCGACCGTCAGATGCTACAGCGATGCAGTAGATGCAAGGTTCACATTCTGTGCACAGACTATTCGGACAGAATTGTTTGTGCCCAACATCCTGTGTGCGGGATGTTCATACCCAACCACTGACTGGCCCCCATGTTTGCCTGACCAATAGACCCAATAGAACAACTCTGGGATATTATATTTGGATCCATCCGACGCCGCCAGGTTGCATCTTAGAGAGTCCAGGAGCTCTGGTCCAGATCTCGGAGGACATCCTGCAGGACAACATCCATATCTTCATTCGGAGCATGTCCTTATGTTGTCAGGCATGCATACAAGCACAAACTACTGAGCACCATTCTAAGTTGCTGCAATGAAATTTCAGCAAAATATACTAGCCTGCCACATCATTTTTACACTTGGATTTTCAGGGTGCCTATAATTCAGCTTTGAATTCAGTAAGTTAATTTTTTACTTCCATCAAACGATGTGGCATTCTTTGATTCCAAACATGTTATTTATTTTTAAAAAATTTTTTTAAAGTTCTTTATTCAATGATTCAATGAGTACGATGCATATATGAATTCGATTTAACTTTCAGTTTCAGTATCCAATTTTTACCATGCTCATTCTTTATTAGTACAACATTATTACTCACTTTTTATTACTCTTGATTTACTTCTAATGACAGAATGTTTCAACTTGACTTGGCGTGCTCAATGACAGCGACAGAATTTAGCCAGCTGATGCAGTTACTAAAACCAGCATGAAAACGAACCCTTTATTATAGTTTAGAAAAAATCTGCAACATGTACGTGTTTACCTAGATTGTGTGTGAGCTTTTACTATTGTCTGTTATCAAAGATATTGGTAATACTAACAAAGCAGAATGAAAAGCTACTGTTTATTTAACTAACTAAACAAACTGATTGGTTTACCTCATTCTGCGATCAGAACTCCCTGTGAGTGCATAGCAGTTAGTACCAACCATTTTATGTCATCACTGACAATGTCACAAAATCTCTGAAGTGCCCAAGAGAGTGTGTTGGTAGAACGTAGGGTAGATGCTTTAAACAACTTCTTTTTGTTGAGCATGACTATGTTAAAAGCATATTTCTTGGTTTGGAAATCTATGCACTTATTTTCTTTATATTTCTCTTCATCGCCCCAGTCACTTGTTACATTCTCTAAGAAGTTTTTTGGTGCAGGTCGCTTAACGTGGAAAGAGGGTTCTTCTTCCCCACAATTGCCAAGTTATTGGTAAAAGGAGACTGATTGCTGGTGTTCTGTCTCTAATATTGTGAGAATATATACATATCTTTAGATGAGTACTATTGTGAAATTGGAGCCACATAAATAAAACTGAATAAAACGAATCAGGATATTTAACACATGGTGGAGAGCATCATTCCTTTTTCTTGCATTCATCTAACAGTAAGTTAACCGGCTTACTTTGGCAAAGAGTTTCTTTGGACAAGTGGAAATACTCAGATCCATTGTCTGTAGGCTGTCACTGCCCATTCACACAGGACTACATATCAAGTCAGTGAACTGTCATGACAATGGAATGGACACCCTAAAGGAGATTAATGGCACTGGTGATGGCTAATATTGTGTCATACTACGAGGAGTGTTGTACTAGAATACTCCCAGAGTTGAAACTGATTAAGCACCCAGAGAGATAAGTCACTGAGGAATTTTTGTGGGAGGAAAATCGGAGACGTTTCACCAGCTCCCACACAGGAACATCAGGAGATGGTACAGAACACCCTGCTTCAGAACCTTGACATGAACTTCCAGGACTGCCCACAAGACTCAAATTACACTAAAATTCAGCTTTTAAATCTTTACAATATCCCAAATGTAGCCTTTCTCTCCCATGCATGGGAGAAGCCCGAGTGGACAGTTTGAAAGCTTCTAATTCAGCCGACAGACATGTTAAGCAGATTAACTCTAAAGGATTATTGTCTCTCCCACACACTTAATGAGGCGGAGAATGCCGATTTCTCCTTTACACCACATGTAAACAAAGAAGCTTCTTAATAGTTCGGCTTCTGCTAATATTTCATTCAGTTTCTCATTTGCACACTGAAGTAATAGGATTACAGCTGATATATATATGGCTAACACAGCTAAAACAGACACACACACACACACACGAAAGTTGTTGAACTTTCATTATAGTCACCTTAAGGCAACTGTTGCTGTGTTTGGCACTTTTAAACCATAAAACGAGCCCTTTTAATCCGCGGTTGTGACTGTGACTGGTTCTCCTTAAGAATTTGTTTTCAGACTTTTCCTAATATCCCATCTCAAAGAGCTTTATCACAATTTATCAATTTAAGTTTTTGACTGCAAATCCTACAATTACGTAGAATACCTTTAACTTTCTGAGCTTACTGGTGTTTTAATTTTGCACCAAAATTATTGTGGCTTGGACTTCCCAAATGCCTCAGCAGTGTTGCACTCTATAGCGACGGGATACTGGCATTGCCTATCCCTAGCCTGGTAGAGGAGTTTAAATGTGCAAAAGTGAAGCTTGAGATGTCACTCACAGACTGCCGGGACCCCATAATGAGAGGTACTGCTCCCACTCTAGCAACGGGGAGGAAGTGGACCCAGCCACATCTGTGCTACAGGCCAAATCTCCTCTTCGACATCGTGACGTGGTGGGTCACATCCAGCAGGGCAGAGGAGGATTCGGTCTTGCAGCAGTAACACCTCGGTGACAACAGGCATCTGTAACCGAATGTCGAAAGTAGTGGAGGAGGTGCGACGACAGGAGGAAACAGTCAGACATGCTAGAGCCGTAGCGCTGGCCAAGCAGGGTCGCTGGATGAATTGGGAGAGTGTTGAGAAGAGGAAACTCATGGAGTGAAATCTGGGGAATGAAGTCTAATAGACTAAGTTTCATCATCCGAGCCACATACGATGTGCTACCTTCCCCAATAAATCTGCAGATGTGGTTTGGAAAGGACCCAGCCTACCTCCTGTGTACAGTCCCAGCCACACTCAAGCATATCTTGGTTGGTTGTAGGACTAGCCTTACTCAGGGCAGATACACATGGAGACACAACCAGGTTCTCAGGTGTCTGGCTGGGAAAGTTGAGCGCAAAAGGAAATCCATCAACGCTCAACCCTTCACGAAGCAAGAGGACCGTCAATTTTCATCAGCATTTGTCCGGGAGGGAGACGAGCCGAGGCCGAACCCCTCAACCCCAGACCTGGGCCCACTGAAGGTTGCCATTGGCAAATGCAAGTGGACTTGGATCAGAGGCTAATTTTTCCCACAGAGATCGTAACAACAACTCTGCGACCAGACCTCGTCCTTTGGTCTAACTCCCATAAACTTGCGTATGTCATTGAGCTGATGGTACCATGGGAGGAAGCAATTGAGCGTAAGAAGCTGCGGTATGCCAACTTGGCAGCTGAGGCAGAGGACAGAGGCTGGAAGATCAAGGTGCGCCAAGTGGAAGTGGGGTGCAGGGGCTTTGTTGCCAGCACAACAGCAAAAGTTCTTAGAGAGATTTGGATCAGAGGACAGGCACAACGGCAGGCTATAAGAGAACTAGCTAACACTGCTGAGAGGACCAGTCACTGGCTATGGCTAAAACGGGCTGACATCACTTGGGCATCTAAGGCAGTCAGCTAACCGCGATACACATGCCAAGGATTGAGCGACTGGTGGTGGGCCTGCCACAACAGAGGGCGTCGAAAGGGTAAAACATAACATTAGAATTTTTGGTGGTTGACTGCTACAGTCTCAGGGCCTCCTGGGGACTGTGCAGTTAACCTCATGGTAGTAAAACTAAAAAGAAGACTGAAAAATGTTCCGCTCTTCTCCCCTCTGCTCTTCTCCCCTTTTCTGGGAGGCAGTGGGGAGGTAGAGCGTACAGCCCGATCCGGTGGGGAGGTGTGGGAAGCCAGATCGGGCGCCCGCCTTCCGGCTCTCCTCTCTGCTCTCTCCTATCTTATCTTATCTTACTTGTCTTACTCCTCTCTGTCACCTTTTGGGTTAGGGCTAACCCTAACCCTAACCCTTTGAAGAAATGAGGCTCCATAAATGCTAAAGAGGTAAGTATTTCTCAGTTGCAGTGAATAGATAGAATAAACTGTAGAAAATTAAACAGGAGAAAGAAGAAGACAAAAACAATTTTAACATAAACCACTGACACACTCCGGGGTCTGATCAACCCTGGCAGAGCCTCCTTGTATGAGGGTGTCTAGTGATAATGGCCGAAACACCTGATGAATCCAAGGTCCACTACTGATGATGTGTCCCACATTTGAACAATTTGGATCTGATTTCTAATCCCTAAACCTAACCAGGGAAAATGGCAGGTTAGGTTGGGTAAAAGAACAAAAGTTGAGGCACACAACAATGTACGCTGCTGGTAAAGTTTCTGGGCTGCTTTCCTCATAACAGCCATCCCTCAAGATTTTCTCCATTAAAAGCAATGCATTGTCTGGGATTGTAACATCTAGTCCTTTACTGAATCATGTCAAAAATCTTTCTTCCCCTAATGTTATACTTCCCTCAGTATTATTTTCAATATTCTTTGAATGTCACATTGTTTTCTTCTTCTTCTTATATCGTCTTTCCTTACACTCAGTAATAAAATCCAACTTTGATCACAAAGTTTCACACTAATTTTCAAACATAATTGTCTTTGATCTTCTTGGTTATTGTTGCTATTTAACAATAATAATAATAATAATAATAATAATAATAATAATAATAATAATAATAATAATTTAAAAAAATAATAATAACAATAATAACAACATATTTGGTTTCTTATTGTGTGACGTTTTTTACGACAGGTGAAAAAAAGCAATGGCCACAATACTGAACTGTGCCATCATCTCTTGTCGTAATGGGTGTTGTTTATCAACAGCAGCTGCTGTCAAAGCACAGGGATATCTGAAAAAGTGAGTGTGTACCTGGATGATCTTATCCTGCGGCCTGAGGCCGGCGATGTGTGCTGGAGAGTCCTCATCCACAGCTCTGATGAACTGGCCTGGTCTTGACTTCTCGCTGTGCAGGTTAAAGCCGTAGCCACCGGGGCCCTTTTTCAAGCGGCAGAGACGAGGCCGGCGCCCATCTCTCTCCTCCTACACAGGATCACACATGAAACTCAGTGTGAGAGTTCAGCCTAAAGTGTAACATTTTACTCTCATAACATACATATTCATACACATCGGTGCTTCGTCAAAATTATTCATCTGTTCTTCTAATTTTAAATATAAACCTGTCACAGTTATGAAGAAACCATAATTATAATACTCAGAGCAAGACACAAAGTATTTAACATAATACTTTATATTTAAGACTATTTAAATCAAAACAATCACAGGTCATGACTCAAAACAGAAAGTTAGGAGATACTGATAAAAACTAAAAAACAACATTACAATGATAAAATTATCAAAAAAAAATAAAAATGGTACCATTTCTAGCACATTCTCAAAGTCATGTACTATCATCCGCTTATTAGAAACACCAACTAACCCGACCCCACTAACTACATCTCTTTGGACTGTGGGAGGAAGCTAGAGAGAACCCACGCAAACATGTGGAGAGCATGCACAGAAAGATCAAACCCAGGACCTTGCTGCTGTGAGGCAACAGTGCTAGTCACAGCTCCACTGCTGCACAACTTGATATAAATAAATAATGATATCACATTTTAACATTTAGTACAATGCCAATTCTTTTTTATATATTATTTTAGAATTCAGACTTAATTTTTTATTGAAACTGTACATCAGTCTAGCACACAGGTGACACTCTTAAATCTCGTTATTCTTTGCAGTGAATCAGTAAAAGCAGAATGCAGGAAATCATCCATTTGTGATTAGAGTGTGTGACGAGGTTTATGTCTTATGTCAACCTGAGATGCCACATCAACAGTTCCTACATGTTTGTTCTACGCTGCAAGGTTTGGACATCATGCAAAGTCCCTATTAACATATTGTAGACATGAAGCTTCTTCAAATAACGTCAAGTACATTAAATGTTCATGCATATAATGAGGTAAGATGGGTAACCGAATGAAGCAGCAGCATCCTGGCTCTGCTGCTCAGGCTAATCCTGCTGTGACCTGTGCCTAGTTAAGTGTTTAATCCAACATATGTTCTTATAATACTGTAATCACACATGTGCTCCTGTGCTGACATCATGAACTTTATCTTTATTACAAGGCTCTTGGAAATGATTACAGATTTTCTAATACCTCACTTTCTCTCTTCTAAACATTCACTGTTAGTAAACTTAATTAACAGAACATTTGTATATAGACTTTTTTTTATTACTTATTTAATTTCCAAAGTCCTAATTATAGCATAGGCCACAATACCAACATATTAATTAAGAAAATATTTTATATACTTAATTTAAACTTCAACTAAATTATTCTAATTTAGAACTGTTGCTGGCCATGTCCACCCCTTCGTGACCACAGTGCCCCCATCCTTGCACCTCAGTAGAGACTTTGATACTGATGATAATATTTTATTACAGAGAACAGAGCATGTGTAGGTCTTAAAGATACTCCGCCACAGCACTTTGAATCATATCTAACAGACTCCATTTTGTTATTTGTGATGTAAATAAAACATAAAATACTTCCGCTCACATACAAAGTCTCGAATAATGAGGCCCCATCTTATCTTGGAGACCTCATAAAATCACATCACCATGATCAATAATAACAGCACTTGGCTCTCAGACTGCAGCTTTTCTGGTTGTTCCAAGAGTAATTAAAAGTAGAATGGGAGGCAGAGCCTTCAGCTTTCAGGCCCTTCTTCTGTAGCACCAGAATTTGGGAGACAGACGCGGCTCTACTTTAAAAATTAAGATTAAAACTTTATTCTTAGATAAACAGTTATAGTATAGTTAGGGCTGGATCATGTGACCCTGAAGCCTCCTTTTGTTATGCTGCAATAGGCCTAGTTTGTACCAAGTGTTCCTTCTTCACTCACCTCTTTTCACTCTTGTGTCTTTACATGTTACTGCGAATGTAATGAAGATTTATTATTTATCTCTGGCTTTTGTTTCATCGCCCAACCTCCAACCAGTCGCAGTGGATAGCCCTGCCTGAGTGTGGTTATACTGGAGATTTCTTTTTAAAAAGGGAGTTTTTCCTTCCCACTGTCACCAAGCGAGTGCTCCGTATTATTGTAGGGTGTTTATCTTACAATATAAAGCACCCTGAGGTGACTGTTGTTGTGCTTTGGAGCTAAATAAATTAAGTTGAATTGAACTGAATCTTCTGAGGCTTCTAGCAGGATATTGTGCCTTGTCAGAAACCTCAAGCTCAAACAAAACAAGTTACAATTGAGCACCTTTGGGATGTGGTGAAACGGCATATTTGCACCATGCAAATCTTCAGCAACTGTATTAACTGGTAACATGTCAACATGAACCAAAGTCTCTGAGGAATGAATGACCTGTATCCAACACACAATAAAAGCTGTTCTGGGGGTAAAACGGGCTCCAACTAGTACTAGCAAGATGTAACTACAGACAGACAGATCTCAACAGTGCATACTGAAAAGTTCCACGTTCTTTTCTTTTTTCAACAGGAAGTGGCTTCCATATTTAAGAACCCTTTTAAAGTCAGCATGTGGAGTCAACAGCCGTCTGTAAATTACTGCCTGCCAAGTGTTTTTTCAAGATCAGCCACTGCAGCCTCAGCACTGAATCGAGGCACCGCTCCCTCCTCCCAGGCAGTGACACTGTGGATAATACACTGAAGCAGAGGTTTATATGAAATCAGGCCGGTTGATGATTGCTGAAAAATGATGGGTTGAGGCGATAGTCAGGTGCAACCTTTGGATGGAATCACACATTTATGACACAGTCTGTTAATGATGATAAGGATGACAAAGTAACTGAGGTGGAAAGTTACACCAAAGGAATGCTGCAAGCAACGGTTATATCACAAAGGCAGAATCACACCTTTGGTTATAAGGTGTACCTAGAGCTGCAACAATCAGATAACAAATCAGCTGGCTGATATGGCACATAGTTTGATTTTAAAATAATGATTCAAGTTATTGCTCGAGGGGAAGCTACAATTGTTGCCTTATTAGATAAACAGGAAACTGAATATTTACAAAAGGCAAAACTGGCATATTAGTTGAAAATATATTTGCAAAAACCAAACAAAGCTGCATTTTATGAATATTCTGTGAGCACCAAATTGACAATGGGTAATTTTCAGACACTGACATGGATATATTCTATTTGCCTAAATAACAGGGCAATATTCACAAACATCACATCAGTCTCATTTCAAACAGCAGGCAACTGCAGGTATATATCAGGTACTAGACTAGCTGGTAGAAACAGTGCACAGTTTAATCTGTTTACTGCACCATAGGTGAGCCTGAGAATCAACCTATGGCAGAGCAGCACAGCAGGTGACCAGGAATAGACTGCCAGCCCTCATACTTCAGTCTCTCTGTTGACATCAGTGACTCTTCACAGCGAGGGGAAGAGAAACACAGGCTTTGACTTCACAAGCCAGGCATGTGTTTGTCGTCAGACCACTTTTTGTTCCTAAATGTTTAATACAGCCCTGCTGTTTCTGTCAAACTGGACTCTAAGAGGCCCCAAAAGCCCAAAGTCTAGGCGTGGTGACAACACTCAGCAGGGAAATGGAGGACGGAGAGCAGAAACTCAAAGCCAGGCTAGCTTTCCTTTAGATTAGACTCAAAATTGGATTGGACACTTTGTGCCTGGAATGAGTAAAATCCTCATCATTGTATTGTTTTCAAACTACTGGGTCTGTTAGCAAGCAGGTCAGCAGGTGTCTCTGCACTGTTTTCTCTCTCTGTGTATGAACAGGCTGGAGACTGTTTGCTAAAGCAGGGAACTGAGTAAATATAGACAGAAAAATATATGAGAAGCACAGAGAATGTCATGTTATGAACTCCCTCAGCTTTTGTCTGATTTCTTGAGTGCATTGAGTCCGACTCAACTTTTCAGATGATTTTGTTTCATGTGCAGGAAATACAGCATCAGCAAATTCGCACAGACACGTACACACTCACACTGCAGTGACAGTGAGATTTGTATGATAATAAAAGTGCTGGGTAAAGTCCAGCAGTGCCCATTTTACACACACTGTTGCTAACCGATCAGGATGCATTTTCATTATTCATTAGCGAACTAGTTACTGACCATTAAAAAGGGGTTTCCACATCATAGAAAAGCTTAGGCAATTTTTTTCCAATTTCTTAACACTAAAGGAGAAAAACCAAAGTTGCGTCCATCAGCTACTATTTACGTTAGCCAGCAGGCTACTTGTAATGTTTAGATGCCTCAACCCAACTAACATAAGCATCTGCTGTGCCTTGTAAACTCAATCATAATTTGCATAATACATCCATGCATAACTTCATTACACATGTTATGTACTGAGCAGGTATAGAGCGCTTTGAGTACTCCGTGAGAGTAGAAAAGCGCTATATAAGAATCAGTCCATTTACTTTAAGTACACTGGCAGCATTAAAATCATACAATTTTTAGATTTAAAGAAATGTAATCCATGCTAACAAATCTCAGACAACAAGGAAAACAATATTAAATGTGACCAACAGGCAATGCTTCATCAATATCTCTAAGCTTAATTGGTTGGTTGCATTGTGTTGCTGATTGACAGGGGGTATGCACTGTACTGGTTGGTATCAGTGTGCATGTTTCATCTGCACATGTTACTTGTGATATAATCTAATTTTGTGCCTGCAAAGAAAAAATATCTGGTGTGTGATCTGCCATAAGCAGCTGCAGCGTAAACGTAGGATTACCCAGCGTTGGTGTGATGGTACAAGAGGCATGGAGCAGCCATGATAAACATTCTCTAAGCTTGTTCAATATCAAAGGTTAATGGTTTTACAGCTGACTATAGTTAAACATCAAATCCTGTGCTTTAACCTCATCATAATGACAGCTGGGAGGACCTTGTACTGAGGGAGTGAGTGATGTGAAAACTTTATGACCATCTATGCCACACAGATAAAAGCTACTCCTCGAACAGGGTGTAAATGGAAATTCTGAACTGCACTAACCTGTGTCTGCAGAACTGTACATACCAGGTTCGTCAGTA